CCCATTTCATACCTGCTTCAGGTAGGGGGTTTCTGACTACTCCTTTAAGTTGACCTATTTCTTCCCTGTGGTGCGGCAATTTTTGGATCGCCCCCCCTTTCCCACGTCGGACCAACTCCGGCCCCAAAACCCTAAACACCCAAACCATTACCTGATGAGACTTCTTCGCTTCCTTCTCATTCTACTCAGAAAAGAACGGCACGTCACGCACTCCTTTATACACTAGGTTTCAAAATAAGATAAGATTTTCTTCAGTTTTTTAAACCCTCAGAGGGTTAGTCACCCAGGATAACCCAAGAAAGTCGTGCGTCATCAAGGACTAACATTTCCATTGGGGTCCTCAATCTTGTACCCCAGGATGGACCCCACACCAATCAACTAACACCCAGGTACTGTACCTAGGTGAGCATGACAACAGGTGTAAGGAAACATGTCGAAATGTTGCCACCCCGCCGGAAATCGAACCCTGGCCCTTCGTGTGTAAAGCGAGAACTTTAACCACCGGGGCACCCAGTGGACCACAAGTGACCAAGTTTTTTTTTACCCCATGACTGATTTCCTCTGCTGCCTATCTTTCCGACCATAGCATTGGCTAGGTGCTCCTACGCCATGTTGGTAGAGATATACCCTTCATGCTCTCAAGAGCAATACATCATCATCACTTTCCAGAATGCTAGCCACACTCAAAATCTTTCCTTACAACTTTCGATGCTATTCTGTAACTTTTGAAAACGTGATTCCCTCAATTCTTGTAGTGGTACGTGTCCCCACAGTTAATGATATTAATCTGTTCCAGAGAGCTTGTCCTTAACTGATTTTATTGTTATCAGATTTAACTTTCCCCATAAGAAATAATGGAAATCCAATTAATCCATTCCTGCTGTCGGGAAAGGCATGACAGAAGAGTACTTCAATATGACATTTTTATCAACTCTACGGCTTATTTATCTATCACAATTCATCTAATATGACTAAACAATATTAATAACATAGAACATGATATATACTCTAGAAAAGAATAAATATGTCATAATGTATGTGAGGAAAGTGCTGTTGTTTGGGGTTTTTAATGGCCATGAGAGAAGTCGTAATATTAGTGGTGGAGGCAGCTTCTACCACCACCACTATCCACAAACAATATATGTACGTTAATTTTTAAATAAGTAAGTTTATTCAGGTATACACAAATACAGTTACATACATAATCATTATAATAGCCAGCATGTGTGTAAAGTGCCTAGTACAGTAGTGAGTGACTTACATATTTCCATTGGGCCCTTTTATATTTACACTTATATTTACTTTTATATTTACACTTAGTTTGGAGGAGATGCTGGCAGAGGGTTTTGGGTGGTGTTAGATACGTAGCGGCTGGCATTATGTTCCCTTATCCCATACAATCCAAAACATTGGAGAATTACTGTCATGTCTTTTTCTATCGCTTACTCGCTTAACTTAATTTCTGGCGCTTTAGTCTTTTTCGTTACCTGCTGCTTTAGTATCGTACATACGTAGAATTACTGAATCACTGCAGAAGGCACCCTTCACCCCCCTCTTCCTCCTCCAATTTTGATACGAGTTTTTCTTGAATTTTATTTTTTCTTTCCTTCCTTATCACAGGGCTGGCACTAGAAACTTTCTTTGGGCCCATGGTGGCTTATTTAGAAGTTTCAAAAACTAAAAACAATGGAATAATACAAAATAAAATCGCATGTATGCGTGGAATCCTTCTCCCTGGCTTGTAAACAATGGCACACTGGCTTTACATGGGCTCAGGTCGCGCGGAAACATTCGGGACGAATGTCCTTAACTAGTTTTTCATTGTTAGCCGAGCCAATTTTTTGACGCAAAAAGCATGGGTTTCAGTTTTTATCACTACCCGATAGCATCTTTAAAACCGGGGGTCCACTTCTGTCTTTCCCTCTCCTGCCTGCGAGGAAACAATACCCTTCAATGAAACCCATTAATTATGACTACCGTGAGTGTCCATCCTCTGTATACGGGGCCCCTCAGGTTACGATTTTAACCCGTTCCTGAGAGCTATGTATGCCAACATTATTGGGAGGCGAATTAATTTTCCCCATAAGAAATAAGGAATAAATTTAATCCGTGCAAGACCCCCAAAAGTACTATGAAAAAAAAAGTTTTTCCACATGAATATTAATTTTTAATGCACACAAAAGAGAAGACTGCACATTAGTAGTACTCACTAACAAAAGAATACATGACACTTACCCTTTTAAAGAAAATCTGTTTTTTGATTTATGGGGGTGGGGGAGGGGGAGAGTGCGAAGTTGTTAATGTTTAAAAGGGGAATCCCCTTCCATTAGGGGCTTGGGGTAGCAAGTCCCTTTTCCCGGGTTATTCTCTTCTTCTTTTAAAGCCATAGGACCAGTTGAGATCCTGGACCCCTGTCGACAACAAATCTGTCCATAGAGCTCTGTACCTCCCATTCCTTAAGATTTGTCTAAAATGGGCCACAACATTGTCATTGTAATAGTCACCAGCACGGCTTGCAATAGCTGTGTTAGGGTGATTTTCATCCATAAAGGTTTGCAGTTCAACCCACTTTGCACACATTTCCTTAATTTTTGAAGTAGGCATAATGGATTCCACAACTGGCATAGGCTTCTCAGGGTTAGCCCCAAACCTTCAAAATCTTCCTTAATTTCCATACTAATTCTCACCCTTTTTACCACAGGGTTGGCACTAGAAGCTTTCTTGGGGCCCATGGTGACCTATAATACAGAATGTACCGAATGTATGCTTAGATGCGAGCACATTGGCACGCATGGGCAGTTCAGGCCTCACGTGGACGCATCCCGGACGAATCG